ACTTTGCGCGACGAAATATTGGTCACGCAAAGTCTTAAAAAAATTTTTAAAACTAAAATTTCTCGCGTCCCCTTTTTGGGGCCCACCCAAACTTTTAGGGTTTTGCACGATGAAGTGTTGGTCGTGCAAAGTTTTGCGCGACGAAAAATTTGTCGCGCAAAGTCTTAAATTTTTTTTTTTTTAAAATTCCCACATCCCATTTTTGGCGCTCGCCCAAATTTAAGGATTTTGCGCGATGAAATATATGTTAGTAGCACAAAATTTTAAAAAATAATTTTTATAAAAATAAAAAACAATTTTTTTTTATTTTACAATTTAAAATATAAATAAATTAAAATAAATAGAGTTTAGGCAACCAAATGTTGATTCATTGCTCAAAGAAAATAATTTAGTTTAACAATATAAAATATAAAATGAAATAAACCACAAGTAAATAGGGTTTAGGCGACGAAATATTGATATTCATTGCGCAAAGTTAAAAAAAAATTATGAAAATAACTATATTTTAAAATTTGTAATATAAAATTAAATAAAAAATTGGTTTAGGCGATGAAATATTTGGATTTCATCGCGCAAAGGTTTTTAAAAAATAATTTTTTATTTTTGGAAAGACTTTGCACGATGAAGTTTAAAATTTCGTCGCGCAAAGTAACTTTGAGTGATGATGTTTGTTTCGTCACACAAGACTTTGGGGGACGAAGTTCAAAAGTTCGTTGTGCAAAGTGACTATGCGCGACAATGTGTGTTTCGTTGCGTAAGGGGTTTTTTTTACAAGTGAATTATAATATCTCAAATGTGTGTGACTAATTTAAAATATCTCCGTACACAGTTCCGATTCCAATTCAATTAACAATATTTAACTTCACAGTGAAATTATTAAAACCTAATTACCATAGTGACATAGACAAGTGAAATTATTCAAACCTAATCAACGATGTAGATGACTCGTTTCATATATAAAGATAAGATGTGGGCACTCAGCACAGGCATATGACTGATGTAGGTTTTAAAGTTTTCAAAAATTCCAAAAGTACCAAATTTTCCAAGTCGAAATAGATGTTGAAATTTCAAATGTATTTGGACATGCAATTAGAAGAAATTTTTGATAATGAAATGGAGTTCCTTGATTCTAATCTGAAACGTCTAAAAATCAGTCTACAGCACAAATCATAATAACAACGAAATATAAATATGAAACTGCTACACCCAACCAATATTGTCACCTTATTTATAAAACAATATTTGCGGAGAGCGAGTCAAACTCGGAATTTCACATATAAAAGTAAGTTATCTTCCCAATTGATCTTTGGCAATGATCTGTACCAATATGGGTAACCCACTCCATAAACTATAAATTTTTTATGCATCTGATTCCTCTGCACATACATTTATGGCCACTAGTTTAATTTAATCTGAACTAGGTAATTTTTGGATACAGCTCAAGGTTTGAACTTATTCCTCTTGTTCTTTCTAAGATTCTCAAGTCCACCAGTTATATATTTCCTTTTGTCATGACCGTATGAGTGTGTCCAATTCTGCTCCAATTTTATAGATTGTTGCTTTATTGGCTTTCCATGTCAGTCAGCATTGTTTGCATTCTATTTGGTTTTATATGATGTAAGCGACATATTAGGGGAGTGAAATTGGAATTTAAACGCAAATAGATAACATATTATTCTAATCAATTTAACGAAAATCAAAATTATTTCTCTTTGTTTTTATTTATATATTTGTCTTAAATATAAAATGAGAAAAGTTGGGGCCTTAATGCATTGTTGACATTTAGTGTGAGGGAGAACGGAAAGAATATTTTAGTTTTCAAACGACACACACAAACATATGCATGCATACGCATGTATCAGGTATGATATTTATGCTAAAAGACGTTTGCTTGTGGTTGAAAAGTTAAATTGAAGTGTCACATCATCTCAAGGGTTATGACACCTTTGTTTTCTCCAGAATCTCTACTGGTGCAAAATTAAGGCAAATAATATAAGTTGGTGATCATAATTCATAATTAAGGCAAATAATATAAGTTGGTGATCATAATTCATAACACATCGCTTTGCCACGGGCCCTCAGCTTTTGAGTTGTTTCCACCCAAAGAACAACACCTACATTTTAACTTTAAAAGAGAATAAGAGTAAGGTTTGCAAAGGTTGTCGACCACCACTTCACTAAATTCTGATTTATCTTTTTCAAACTCAAAACGGTCGAAAATAGTAGTAAAGATTTTCACTTCGAGTTCCTGATATTGTGGCTGGTTTGGCCGCTTAGGTTTTAGTTTGGCCGTGGTTGTGCAATTCTGGTGGTTTTAGGTCGAAACAACTCGATACCATCGGACGGTTCATCTGGCAATAGCCGTCACCTGCCGCTATTGTTCAACACAGAGGTGGGTGCAATTTGGTTTGGATCAGTTTTACCTGAAAATTTCAGAAAAATTAATCAGCCATGGAGTGCTGCAATTAGATTCGGTTTGAACAAACCGATGTGAGAAACCAAACAAAACGAAACCAAACCACCGTTAGACACGGTGCAACTTAGAAGTAGGCATGAGACTAATTTTCATGTTTTGTTTGATACTGATTTAGGTCAATTACCAAAAATTGTCGTCTAATTTACTTTAATTTTCCATATCAAGAGAATTGGAAGTGGGAAAAAATAAAGCTAATATAAGAAGGTTTGTTCGGATTAGGCGGTTTCCAATTAGGTCAAACTAGTTACAGTTGCTTAACTTCTAATCATGTGGATTAATCATATTGGTGTGGATTAATCATATTGAAAACCCACCGAAGGGTTTTGTGGATTAATCATATTGGTGTACTAATTTGAAAACTCAATGAATTTGAAATCCCAATCCATCAATCATCGTGGTGGTGTCGTTTCTACAATTTCTGAGGACCTTTGGTGGCAGCGATGTTAGTAAAAGACGTCTCTTACAGATTTGTGAGTACCTTGCAGTGGGTTTTGATGAGGAAATCACTTGATTGGGTGAATTTACTGGCTTTATGTAGTTTATGAAGAATCGGTAAGAGAAAAAGTTCATGTGTTAATGATATTGGGTGAACCCTAAACTCTCTTAATTAGAATTAGTCTTGGATGAAATCTGTATCGGGAAAGAGGGGAAGAGATAAGGATATGGCCACCAGTGGCTTGAAGTCGGGTTGGAGCCGTGGAGGCAGAGGACTGGGATAGAGACTTGTCGGCGACGGAGGGGTAGGGTCGCTGGCGCTGGGTATAACAGATGTCACAGATGAAATGGTAGTACAGTACTACCTAATAATTTCTGTGGTTAGGCTCAGTTTAACCTTAAAATTAGGGGATAAACGAAACACTATTGAATCGGTTGTTTCACCCTGCTTAACGACACATGCCTAAAATCAAATACTCTCTCTATTTGGTTTTCTTTAGTGATTTAGGTTAAATCCAGTTTCGATAATATTGTGCCCACTTGAAATTCAATTGTTCTCGACATAGATTTTTATGCAATGATATAATTAAAATTGTACTTAGAATCAAAACAACTTCAAACTAATATGATCACCATTTCTAGGGTTGTGAATTTTTGTGTCGAAATCCCGAAACCGACACAAAAAGTCCCAAACTGACTATCGAAAAAACCGAAAATCCGCGAAATTTCGGTAACCGAAACCAAAAAAATCCAGAAAGTTCAGTATGGAGATCGGTTACTCATCGCTCTATTTTTTGTAATACCAAAGAATTCTAGCCATTGGATTGGTCGAGATTAAATTCCAAACGTTCGTTTTAACAAGGACTCAGACTACTTTCTCTCTTCTCTTCTCAAACTCAGCCCCCTGTCCCTCTAAACTTCCACTCTCTCGTCTATGTCTCAGACTTTTCCTCGTGCTAAACACTGGCCACCCACCACTCTCTCGTCTTCGCTCGGCCACCATTCCACCACCATCACAGCCCTATTTTTCCTCCACCGCCAAAAATAAATCTTGGTTTGGATGAACCTCAACCCCCATTATCAAGGCTATTACATCTAGGTAAGTGTTACCCATTGTGAAATTTCAAATTAGGGTTTTTTTTTATTTTTTCCAAATTAGGGGATTGATTTCAGAATTTTTGAATAGTGATTGTGAACTCTTAGTTATAGCGTAGTTGGTCAAAATATGGACTACCCAACCACAATTCACATAGTAAATTAACGTTGTTGATTTGGGTACGATAACCCTAATGATTCAGTTTGAGTTGAGCGTAGTCTCACACACAACACATAATGAGCTAAACTACAAGACGTAAGTGCATATTATTTTCCTTTTCCTAATTCATTTAGGGTGCGTTTGTTGCACCGGACTGTCTCGGACTGGACTAGCTGCAGGGACTAAGTTGGACTGGCTTAGACTAGACTAAGCTGGACTAACTTAGTGAAGCGTTTGGTGCAGTGTCGGACTAAGAAGCAGGATAATGAAAACAGGATTATTCACCATATTTGTGTTTGCTTACACTAGGATTACATTATTGTTCTATTTTAATAGCTCCAATACATGTGTCCAACGCCCTAAAAATTAGAGGGTTTGGAATTGGAATTGGGGTTGGCATAGGTGTAGCAACATTGAAATTGAAATGGGAGTAACAATCTTACAAATTACTACAAATATTTGGGCACATTGCCCTGAGTTTAATCTCTTGAATTGTTATTGTAATCAATCCACAACTTGCCCTTAAAAGTTGATTTAATTTGTCTTCTTATCACACATTAAACGTCATTAGCCATCAAATACTTATATCAACATAACTTGATCCAAGGATTTCTTAGTCCGACAAATACATCATTCACTAAATTTTCATCCAGGATATTTTACAAAATGCCAGTTAACTATAGTATAGCATTCCAAAGTAGGTCTTCATACTTTACAAAATCCTAGTTAACATTAGCCAAAATACGTCATAGTGCAAAGCTAAGTTAGAAGCCATAACCTAAGATTGTACGATTAATAAAATACATCCATGTCTAAGGGCACCACATAATATACTCATCCGCTTGCTTTGTCGCTTAAAAGCCTTTGGACGAACACTTTCTTGAGTCCCGAATTGATTGCCCTGAACACTCCCACATTTTGTGGTTTTTCCAAAATAAGAGTCAATGCATCAATTTGATCCATAGGAGAAAGACCCATTGCTTCAAGTTCGTTAGCTATGTCAGTATGATTTGCAGTACCTTGAACTAAAGCTTCAGTTACCATTTGCATCCTCTTCCCACTTTCAACATAAAATTCTTTCAGTCCACTAATAATTGCCTCGGTTCCATCACTTGAATTTCCCATAGCTCTTTTCCTCTTTCTTTGGCTATTTTCAGATGGGGTGCTTTGTTGGCTTTGTTGGTTCATTGAAGATACAACATTTTCACCTCCAATATCACTTGCACCAACCTGAGCATGACTTTGTTCCTCCATCATTTCAGCAGGGGTTTCGGCTACATTACCCGTAGCCCGATCTTTTCCAAATATATATGCAAATCTATCGTACAGTGGAAAAGGTTTGCTTCTCCATCCATCAGCTTCTTTATTTTTCTAAGATTATATGAACATAGCAAAACTAAAATTTAGCATGCATAACAAATATAGCAGCAAGAATATAACTAATGTATAAATAAAATAGGATATGAACCTGCACATAAGAAAGCCATGCGTCATCACTGTCAACTTCAACGCACTTTTTGACATCATTCCATGCAAATCCACTTGTGTTTATCATGTCAAAGACCAAACTATATGTTTTTTTCCATTTCTTCAACTTTGACTCAATATGTGGAGTTGCCTTTATATTTGAATTAGGACATAAAACGTTGACAGCTTTCGCTATTTCAATCAAAGTACCTTGTTTGAAAGCACCTGTGTCACATCGTTGCTTCCGAGCAACAAAATCCTCAAGAACGGATAGTAATACTTCTTCCTCAAATGCTTCCCATTTACGCCTTCTTCCTTTTGGCTCTTGAGAAGCATTCAAATTATTGTGGCTATCCATACCTAAACAAAAAATATTTGAATGTACTAAAATACAATACAAACAATCAATTTGCATAATATCCAATCAATTTGCATAATATCCAATCAATTTGTATAATATCCAATCATTTTAATAATATCCAACATATGCATGATAAAAAGGAAAACTAAAATAAAATCTTATCATTAACACATATAGCTAGTTCGGTTGCTGGTTCCTAATTGCTCTCCACTCATTATACATTTCCTGAGCCATGGCATTCCTCTTTGCAGTCCACTGGTCAGATGTTTCAACACTACCAACATATTCACCTTCTTCTGTATTTTGTCCATCTTCTATTATTGGCACATTCTCCATGGGATCTACAGACATCTCTTGCCTAATAAGATTGTGTAGTAGGCAACAAGCGGTAATTATTCGACCTTGTGTCCTTATCGGATAGAAAGATGGACTCCTTAGTATCCCCCACCTTCCTTTTAGCAAGCCAAAACAACGTTCAATTACATTCCTTGCCTTAGAATGCTTCATGTTAAAATATTCTTCCTTATTAGAAGGTGTTCGTCCTTCCCATTCAGATAAATGATAAGGTATTCCTCTATAGGGTGCAAGGAATCCTTCACCATTTGTATAACCACCATCTACAAGGTAATAATAACCTAATAAAAAAAAAAAACCTTATATTAGTATTTTGTAGTTCAAAAACAAAACTAGACCTAACTTACAAAGTTGAGACTAACTAATAATCTTACCCGTTGGTACCTTAAAACCATTAGGCCTAGTAATTGCATCATGTAGCACTCTAGAGTCTGATGCGGAACCCTCCCACCCCGGAAACACATATATGAACTGCATATCTCCTGAACACACACCTAATACATTAGTTGCGACTCCACCCTTTCTAGTTCGGTATCTTGGTTTGTCAATTTCAGGTACATGCACATCAATGTGTGTTCCATCTAATGCTCCCAAGCAATTCTAAAAAAAAAAAAAAAGCTTTTGTTAATTTATACAAAGGGAATGAAGAGTTAAAGCTTAGGGAAAATGAAAATAATTATCAACTTACCTTAAAACATCGCCACCTAGGATCTGTAGAATCAATAGGCACAGGTTGAGGGACTTTTAGTAGGATACCTTGTAATCGCAAAATTCCTTGCAATACACTATTGAAATACCTACTTATAGTCTCTCCCGACCTATAAAATCTACCACCAACACTACGATTCTTAGTATGATGTGCTAGTATTTGTAAAGTCATACACACCTGCTCCTCTACAGAGACCAAACCATCCGTTTTTATCCTCCCATCTTGACGAAGTAAGTCACATAATATGCCAAAAGTCCTTCTATCCATTCTCAATTCGTTGACACATTCAATATCAGTATTCCCTATTATACCATTCAGATAACACAAACTAATCTCTCGTCTAACAAGTGAACGGTTAGTCAAGGTGCGTCGTTCAACATGTCTCTGTTTTGCCCTTAGCATCAGCAACACAAGAATCGTACAAATGCAAATCGTCTCTAAATGAGACATCTCTAACAATAAGATCAATAAAAGCTTCCTTCGATCCATATCTATCCAAACAAAAAAAAACGAAAAAAAATATTAAGGACATTATGCTACTGCACGCTTTCCATCTGGCACAAAGAACAAACCAAATAATATAATCCAGCTATGCTATATCAGCTGATAAAACAACATTACCGCAAATATCAAAAGCAAACTGAAACAAGTACAAAATTTCTAGGTATACTTATACCTAGAAAAACAGAAATCATGGAAAAATAGGTAGGGAAATGACAAGTTGCACTTGAACTAATCAATCGTGCAGTGTTTTGGTAATGGCAGTGGAGGAGATGGCGGAATTGGGGCAGGCACAGGCCCAGGTTATGGTGGCAGGGTGGGTGGTCATGACGAGAAGATGAACAAGCTGTGTTACATGTAATAAAGTTAGTTTGGTTTGTATACAAGCTGTGTTGTTTCACTTAAACAGAGAAAGATGAATAGTTTGGTTTGTATACAAGGTGTGTTGTTCCACTTAAACAGAAAAAGATGAAGGGCAGGAAGAACAGATGTTACTCTGCTTGCACAGTGCTCACACAGTTCAGAACTTGAATACACTATGCTGACTGCACAAAAACGAAATTTACATGCCACCAATTGTGTGACCAACAACAGCAATGACATAATTCGAAGCCTAAATTGCAGAAGAAAATAAATCAACTAAAAACGTTGTAAAAAGTTTATATGTCTATAATTTAACTTCAACCGCAAGGAAATGACAGTGCCAAGTAACAGAGACAAATCTCATCCATGCATAACATATGTACTGGGAACTAAGAAATGACCCTGTTCTTGGAGGGGTTAAAGAGTCAAATAGAATATTGGAGGGGTTAAAGAGTCAGTATGCAGTTCTCGGACTATTGGCAAACGACTCCCTTGCGTGTATGGTGGTGTATATAGAAGGGAAGAAACAACAAACGTTTTCAGAATAGCACCTGTGGTTAGGAAGATCAATATGCAGAACAATGTTGTCATTTCAATGTAATGTTGAGTTCATAAAGCTACAATGGATGCTATGATTCCTTATCATCGAATGTACGAATGATGCTAAGTCTACGTGACTCATGAAGAACTAGGAACTACAAGATAAGAAAAGCAAGACAAGGGATAAATCCGAACGATATTAACAAGCAATTAGCTGGAGCATTTTAAAGCATATGGCAAACTACAAAGTCTAAACAATCCAAGCCCAAGTAACATTTGAATAAATCAATCTAAACCATAACAACGGGATTATCAATCGAAGACAGTACAAACAGAAAAATGTGTCTTCAGAAACAATGCAAATGAAATGTATTCAACAGCCAAATGTATTCAACATTTTCTATACATGTTGCTTGCTAACTCGTATGCGTATTCTTTTGGCAGACTTACTAATCTGCTGAGAAGACGAACATTTTCCTACTTTACCGAAGCAACACTATCGCATCATGTTTTCGAAAAACCCAAAAAAATCCCATTCGAATTAAAATCTCGAATTTGTTTAGAACCCAGATCATATATCAGATTTAGCATGCATAACAAATTCGAAGCCAGATCACATTCAGATTTACCATCACAGAAAACCCCAAATCGCAAAATTATATAGCAGAATCCAAATTATATAGCAAAATTATATACCAAATTCGAAGCCAAATCACATTTCAGATGCTCTAATCAATCTCAATTTGACCTAAAAATCAAAACCCTAATTTGTTCAAGTGCAGAGGTCTAGGATTCAAAATTTCTCAAACCCAAAACAACAAAATCAAATAAAGCTCAGTATTATCACGATCTGCAAAACAAATGACGAAATAAATCGAAGATTCGAAGTTTACCAGACAGCTCGGAGCAGATGAGGGCGAGCAGATGCAGATGAGGGCAAGCAGATGCAGATGAGGGTGAGGAAGATGCAGAGATGAGGGTCAGGAAGACGACGATGAGCGACGGCAAGACGACGATGAGCGAGGGTAGGGAGGACGAGCAGGAACCTCGCGATTTTCTCAGTTTCTCTGGGCTTACGAGTCCGCCCAATTTCGGGGATCTTGGGGAAGACCTCGTAAGGAGGTGTTTAATCCCAGCGAATCCCACCTAATCTCATTAAACCATATCCTGCACCACACCAAACAAAGGACTATAGTCCAGTCTAGTCCAGTCCTCTTTAATCCCATCAAACAAACGGGGCCTTAGGGTACTAATGGAGTGCTCATGCACTCAACTGGTTTCAAGGAGACATACTCTTAGCATTTCTCTTTGTATTCAGGAATAGTAGAAGCCGCACTTTTTCAGTAAAATGTTAACGTTCGGTGGTTGAAACTTGAAAGTCTGAATTCGATGAGTCACATCCACGACAATGTTTTGTCATAATCTTGTCTTCTCTATTATTGTGGATCATGGACATAGACAAACTCGCAGGTGCTAAATTACAAGGGAACAAAAGCAGGTCGACAACCAGTTCAGAAAACTAACTCGAATTACCTCTTCAATACTCATACAGAAAGTAAAACAATAGTCATATCGCTTGTACTAATCTATATAGTATTCAACCAGATAAAGTTCTCTACTTATTATTTGTATCAATGATATACTATAGTTCGGACCAAAATGGTGTCGCTTTACGGTTTAGGGTTTACATTAAAAATAGATTCAAACGTAGATGTAAACATATACCCTGTCTTTATCTCCAGATATAACTCCTTTCAATATTTTCACAATCCTCACATCGATTAGGTGATAAAACATAAAATGCCATGTATGTGCAATTCTCATCTTCATTAGTAAGTGTCATTTCGGCTATGTTTGGATGAGGATTTTTCAAGTTTTAAGGGATTGATGTCAGGTTATGAAGTAAGAGGTCATAAAATGTTATATACAGGAGATTAGAAAGCTCTCTACAAGCATTACAGTTTAACAAGGGCATGTGAGAGGGATTTGTAAATGACACCTCCCATTGCTCCCAATTAGGCATTAGCAAATCCTTCTCATATGCCTATGTAATGTTGATGGAGGGTTTACCCGAACGCTTATATGTTACATTTTGCGGATCATTTCTCAATAACTTGACATCAATCCCTTGAAACTTCAAAACCCTTATTCAAATACAGCCTTCGGGTTTTGAAAGCTCAGAACAAAATAGTTATGACAACTCCTTCATTTTGAGTTTCTAGTTATCAAATCCAGCTAAGTAATTGAATCAACAAACATGATATGTTACCGAAACCTCTTTGACAATGCAAGGAGAGTTTCATAGTCTCTTATAGCAAAATAAATCAACACACTTATGCCAAAACTTGATTGCGGTATTATATTCCTGATTTGTAGAATTGCCTTTGCGTAATTAGGTTTTATCACTGTTCTTGTTGTACACACAGTTGCAACCATATTTGTACCTCTTCACGCATTAAAAACTCCCACATGTTCACTCTTGCTTGAGTATTCAGTTTGACTTGGTACCAGATCAATGTATTGGTCCCTTGAGCAGGTATAAGAGCAAGGTATATATTCTCCTCCGTTCTAAGGAATGTATTGTCCTCATTCTAATTAAGCAAAGTAATTCAGTTAACATTGTTTTATGCATATATATCTCTTTGCGTTGCATGACATCGAATGAATGTTTCAACACGCGTAGAATCTCATATCACTCGGTAATGAAACTCTTTCCACCTAGCTATAGTGCCTTTTACACACACACACACACACACACACACAACAAAAGGGTGGAGGGAATAGAACTCGTTATCCACAATATTTAAATATAAGATATCTCATTTATAAGTGTAGAAAAATAACATCAATCGTAGTTATTCAACAATTGAGTTTTAGTCCAAGAACTTATAGCTCGTTTACGTAATTGTAATCAAAATAGGATGAACTGGATTGAGGAGGAATTTGATTGAGGAGGAGTTGGAATAAGGAGGGGTCAGAATTGGATTCTTGTTAAAGCTGTTTACTTAAATGTTTTGAAATCAGAGTAGGAATGAAATTGAGTTCATATAAGTTGGTTACTAGTTCACTTGAATCGGAAAATAAATCAATATAATTACTAAAATGCCCTTTAGTTCTTTATTTTTATTTTTATTTCATATATATTTATTTTTAATCACATTTTCATTAGAGCAAATCTACCCCATTGGGGTAGGCCGGCTCAAAGCCTAAAAAATGGTCCAGCCAAGCCTAATAGGCTGGCCCAAAATGTGCTGAGCAATGTGTTGGGCTGTGTGACGCCACAGCCCACTACAGATATTTTTTGCATCAAGTGCGTGGGAAACACGCGCGAGTGGGCGCGTGTTCCCGACCAAAAAAAGGCGGCGGGGCTTGCCATTGCAGTGCACTAATTGGTACCGGGCGAGTGGCCACATGGCTTGTTCTGAGCCGTTGGATTTCCAACGGCTAGTTTTTTGGACCATTGGATTTCCAACGGTCAAAAAAATTTGAATTTCAAATCCAACGGCTAGTGACATGGTGCGTTCTAGGATGTTCGATCCCAAGATCAATGGTCCACGATTTTTGCCCAAAAACGAAAAAAAATAAAAACACAATGGTCAGAATTATTATCGTTTGCCACTTGTCCACAATGGTCAGAATTAACTTAATAAAAATTATTAAAAAAATGTTTAAAAATACATAATTTTTTTTTTCTATAAATACCTAACCATCATCTCCCACCTTACACCACTTTCAATATTTTCAACACTTTGAACCAAAGCGTTCATATACTTTTTTGTGGAAAAAATGGCTACATGGAAGCTCATTGAAGATGTTACATTGTGTCAATGCTGGGTTCAAATTACTCATGACCCGCTTACGGGTAATGAGATGGAGTTGCGAGAAATATGGAGTACAATTACGGAAGCATTTTGTGATAGGTTTGGAGATCGCTCAAGAAGTAGTCAAGGTCTTCAAGGTCGTTGGAAAAAACTCAACATATCCTTTACTTGTTGGAAAAATGCTCTCTCTCATGCTTCCATTAATCTGAGTAGTGGGAAAAGTTTAGCGGATCAGGTGACAATATTTTTATGGGTAAATTACACTTTACCACCTTCGATTTGGGGTCTATTACAATTGTATACAACATCTTGAAAACATTTCACTTTCATACCTCACCTATTATTTTATTGCAATATAGTACCTCCATTATATTTTCCATCCATTGATCCGTTAAGAGCTGATGTGGTTGCCACAGTTGTGCCACGTGGCAAATTTTTTTTATTCATTTAAAAATAATTAATTAAAGAAAAGTTATAAAAAAAATAAAATAAAATAAAAAAACCCATAACCCATGTTCTTCCCCGAAACCCCCTCATTCCCTGCAACCTAAAACCCCCCATCCCACCCCACCCCACCTCCCCCATAACCCTCCCACCCCACCCCATCTCCAGGTCCCCCGCAAACCCCCCATTCCACCCCTTCCCACCCAAAACCCAAAAAAACCCAGTTATTCAACCCAAAACCCCAAAATTAAAAGGGGAACTTGAATTCCCGAGACGAAATGAGGGAGTGGGGGTTTTGGGATGGGCAAAGTAAAGGGAATTCTAGAGAGAGAAAGAAGG